ACCCACCTATGCTGAAAGTGCAACTAATAAAAGTTCAGAAGTACCATGATTTGCAACTCACATTTCAGATTATAAGAGAGGAAAAGACCTCTTGTTGCATTATTATCTGTTCTTAATGTATGTGAGATAAAAAATATTAATTCTACAGAGAGGAAAAAGAGGGTGACTTACATGAGTTCCTTCTGGGGTGCTGAAGAGGACGGTTCAGATGAAATTGTAGGGAAGTGCATCATGTAAAACCGAGAAGCAATAAACCCAATGACAAGATTTCCTGGCTGAGAAAACTCCTGTGAAGTGAAGTAGGTCTTACTTACTTTGCATAGGTCAGAACGCATCTTCAGGCTGGAAAGAATTGAATGGCTCTTGCTCACAATATGAGGGGAAAAAACAAGCAGCAGTATCAATAACATCAGCATTTTGGGGACAAGAAATTACTTCCAGAAAACACGTCACTGTTTTCTTCAATGCCACTTTTATTCAGATGAGTTTGTTTCAACTTAATTTGACAAGATGTGACCCCATTCCTACATTGATCAGTTGGTGTAAGAAGGTGACTGCATCCATCTCCTCCGCTCCTATTTCATGTTTTTTAATTGATTTTAATTTATTTCTCCCCTATTTAATGCACCTCAGTTCTTAACTGCAAGATTGTACATTTTTTTTCTGCCTGCACACAGTAGTTGTACTTTCTTTATTAGGGGGATCTATAAGTGAGGCACTGCTGGGAGAAACAGATACAGTGAGGTGCAGATTGTTCAAGCTACTCAAAATATGTTTAGTCTGGAAGAAACCACAGCACACCCAAAGACTGCAAACTTATCATAAAACTGTTAGAGCTCAGAATGACAGGGCCTTTCCTGCCCTTTATGCTTTGTGCCAGCTCTGAGCATTGGAGAAGGCTCTTATAAGTACTTCTTTTGTTGTGGTTTATATTCTCAAGGCCTTAAACATACATTTTCTGGAGTTTGTTTAGCAGGGCAATTATGTGTCCATAATTATAGGGGTGATAATCATCTCCCCATCTGCATACATTGCTGTCTTTGCTACATACAGAAAAACAACTGGAAAAACAGTGGGAGTTGAACAGTCTGGTAAACTTGTATGGCATACCCAGAAAGTGTCTCAGAAAAATTGGGGCATCCCAATTTTTATCATGAGAGGCCAGTCACATTTTTGGTCACCAAGGTCTTGCAAGATTTTGCACCACAATTTTCCCTCTCGAAACCCCCCCCCCTCACTTTTTAAAGGGTTGGGGTCGTGCAATCTTGCACAGTGCCCACAAACACACATTTTTGGGTACCATTCCTTGGGGAAATTGTCTTCCAAAATCATGTGAGATCATAACAACCAAAACCACTACCATTCATTCATGAGGGGGGGGGGGAATGGGAATATGGTGTTCAGTAAGATTTTTCCTGGATTTTTCTATCACTGTGTTGGAGGGTATGGTATTATATTTTCCCAATATCAAAGTAGAATCATTCACTTGTACTTAGTTCAATGTGGTTTCTATTCTCTTAGAAAGAGAGAAAAGCCATTTCTGACCTTCAGAGGAGGTGGAGTAGCGGGTTTCACGGCCCCACCACGCGCACGGGGGGATTCCCGGCCGTGTCACTTCCTGGCCAGGTAATCAGCTGGCTCTGGGGGTGTGGCCTGCCTGATTTAAACCAGGACGCAGCCAGGGATCTCCCTCTTTGCTGCCTGCCAGCTGTTGCTGCTTTCCCCACCCTCCCACCCTATAAGGTTTTCGTTTCTTGACCTTGCTATGGACCTTGGTTGGTCGCTGTTGAGGGGCCTGGCAAATTGGCAACAGCCACTTGGTTTTTGCCTACCTCATAGCAAATCATCACAACTTTCTTGGTATTGGTGGTTATGCATTGGTATTGCTCTGTAGATGAAAGAGGGGACGTAGCGCCATCACCTGCCCCATATATTGATAAAGGATTCCGGGGGGTGTGGCCCTGTCTGAAGCCTATGGATGTGATGGCCTAAGGCACACCCCCAATCGGTGACCCTGGGGGAGTTCCTAGTTGATGTGTGTCATCAGGACTTCCCCTACTGGTGGTTAACCCATCCTGGACTTCAGATGGATGGGCTGAAGTTGGATATAGTCTGCTGGACCAATGCCTAAGCCAATACCGCTCATCACCTGTAACCAATAAAGTTGTAGCCTTATTTAGCCCATTAGCCTTAATAATTCTGTCATGTGTCATTATTTCCACTGGGGGCGGGAACTCGCCACACAACTTAATAACATGAATATTATGCACAAATTCTAATGAATGTAAGTTGAAAAAGAACTCTGCCATGTTATTTTCCTCCCTCTATGAACATAAAATAATACGTGATAATGACTTGTATATGCAGGTGGAGCAGGTATCACTTTCGTCCTACCACAATTCAACCAGTCTCTTATGCAAGTGATTTATTGGCTGTGCTCCTTCACATATTGTATAAAAAGATGCGTCAGAGTCATGTTGAGGTGAATTGAGACCAAGTTACTTTAAGGCAAGGCAAGGCCCTTGAACAGAGCGCTAGGTGAGTTTTTTCCTAAATGATATAATTTGTCCAATGGAAATAGAAAAAGAGAATAGTTACAAAATGACTTCCCCCTTGAACATGGGGATCTTGATTCTGCAATAAGCAGGTCAGATTAAGTTTTGCTGAAGCCTTAGAGCTGTATTAATTTCTGGGAGGTAGGAGATGCAGAAAGGGACCCTTTGTAGAACAAAAATGAATCAGTCTGGTTAAATAAACAACATGTGATGTTTATGATAGAAGCACTATCAAGGTACCACTGTATATTCCTCTAGGAGGTCATTTTGCAGGGGCAAACAGAAGTATACCAGATCCATTCATTCATTTCATTGGCACTTATGAGGAAAGGCTTACTAATGTCTTGTGCCCAGCAATAGAATATAGAGGGCAAAATATTGACTAACCAGTCCAAGCATTGCCAGCATGACACTTTCATCACACCCACAATAAATAAATGCAATATTCATTAAATATGTGTTATGGTAACTATGATCTGAACACATTACAAAAATGTGTGTGTGACAGAGAGAAAGAGAGAGGAGGTGGAGGAGGATGGTGTCTTTCATACACTCGCCAATCACAATACCTCATGAATTGTACCAATGAGGTGACCTTTTCAATGGTGGGATTGTTTCTCAAGTCGTGTTCCTCTATAATACACCCTCTTTCATGGAACAGCCTTCACAGATTGTGATTTATGAACCAATGTAAGAATTCAGTTTTTTATCCTCTTTCCCTTTTCTTCATTCTTTTATATGTTTGGACCATATCAGTTGCTTGACCCATCTTCATCTTGGTACAGTGATTCTCAGCTTCTTGCATGAACAGTGGTACCTCGGGTTACATACGCTTCAAGTTACATACGCTTCAGGTTACAGACCCTGCTAACCCAGAAATATTACCTTGGGCTAAGAACTTTGCTTCAGGATGAGAACAGAATTCTCATGGCGGCGGTGCAGCAGCAGCGGGAGGCCCCGTTAGCTAAAGTAGTGATTCAGGTTAAAAACAGTTTCAGGTAAGAACACACCTCCAGAACGAATTAAGTACTTAACCTGAGGTACCACTGTACTGAGTGATATAATATTAATAATAATAATAGGTTGTTGGAGAGGTGGCCAACAAAAATTCACTCTACATCTCCCTTCTTCTCAGCATTTAATTTAAAAAGTTAGGAGGCATGTCATAGTATTGTAGTGATTTACTACATATAAGTGTATTAACAAATGTGAGAGTGAATAAAACATTGAAAGGACATTCTTTGTTTGTCTTCTCTTGGGTCTATGAAAAAGAGTAATGGTGCTGTCTTGGAGCTGCATAATAACTCTTAGTACAATCAATGTGGTCTAAACCACTGAGCGTCTTGGGCTTGCTGATCAGAAGGTCGGCAGTTTGAGGCCCCGTGACGGGGTGATCTCCAGTTGCTTTGTCCCAGCTCCTGCGAACCTAGCAGTTCAAAAGCATGCCACTGCAAGTAGATAAATAGGTACTACTGCAATGGGAAGATAACAGAGATTCCATTGCCCAGAAGTGGTTTAGTCATGCTGGTCACATGACCAGAAACGTGTCTGTGGACAAATGCTGGCTCCCTCGATCTGAAGCAAGATGAGGGTTGCAAACCCACAGTTGCCTTTGACTGGACTTATCCTTCCAGGGGCCCTTCACCTTTTTACCTTTACATGCCAACCATAAAAATATGCATAGATTGAAAATCCAACAACATCAGTAACAGTTGGTGGCTGTTGACTCTTAAGAAGGTTGATTAATCTGAGTTGTATTCTACGTGGGTCAGCATGTTTGGGCAGGGGGTAGATAGATGGAAAGAAACAAGGGACCCATCCAGACTGGTGTTTTATTGTGGGGTTATTCTGCAGCATGTTCTTGACACAACAATAGTGCATTATTTGTATACTTATTCTTATTAAAACCATCAGGTAACTCTTTTGGCTAGGACAGCCAGAAAGAAACTCACGACAGCCAAAAAACCCATATAACCCAAGACACAATTAAACACCGTAGCTGAACCCTCGTTGCATTCAAATATGAATTAACCATTCAGTAACTGCATGTCTGTATCTGGGAAAGGAAGGGAAGTACTTAACTAAAGAGTACAGGTGCCACCTTAACAAGGTCCATACACAAGGTCCAGGTAAGGGAGTCTGCTGAACTGCTCCTGAGGGGGCCACCAGACACCCCTTGCTTCTTTATGGGTTTCTCCTCCCTCCCCTGGCTCAGTGTTCCAAGGACCCTGTCTTCCTACTCCCAATTCAGGTTTGACAGCAGTAGCAACTCCAGTCCCCTCCCCCCTTGACATGGCAGATAGGCAGAGCCGTAACTCGGTGATCTTGTGCCCCTGGCCAGAACTGTCCAGATTGCGCCCCCTAGCCATGGACAAATTAGCTCTTCTTTCCACCTTTCCTCCAACCCCAACCCCTCCACCCATTCAATTCACCCTCTATTTAAAACCATTTCTTATGAGGCAATAATCAATATTTATATTTAAGGACATATTTTTAAGCAAATTTTGTGCCCCCATCGCCTGTGCCCCATGGTGGGGGCCCACCTTGCCACCCCGTAGCTATGGCCCTGCAGATAGGCAGGTAGTTTTCTTCCTCCTCCTCTTCGCTTCCTCCTCCTCCGTATCCTGGCTGCCCTTTCCCTTCCCTTCCTACTCCTGTAATTTCTGGGAAATCACCACAGACCAGCAGCCAATTGCTTACATACAGGCACTGGTCCATGAACCACCATTTTCACTAACATTTTTCCAACAGAGAGAAAATAACAATATATTATTACCTTCAGTCCCTATTTTATATTTATTCATGGAAATTTCAGTCAATAATTCTGTTTGGCTGATGAATATGAAGAGAATAAATATGCAACTTCACCTTGTGGATCTTGACTTGCAAATAATTTCACTAAAATGTCAAAGGAAAGGTCCATTAAGATCGTTGAGATTAATTTCCAGGTCAAGAAAGCTTTAGAAAGCTTTAGAAAGGATGTTTCTTGGTATATTTAACCTCTGTGAAGTACTGTATGTGTCGGTCATTATACTATTCATTCTACCATTCAGATGCATACTTGAAAGGGGGGGGGAAGTGCTATGTGTTCTTAATTCTCATATAACTTAGTCTTTTCCTGATTTTAGTTGCTCCCTGTTATTCAAGTCAGCCCTGAACAAAAGAATATAGCATTTAGGGGGAAAGATGCAAAGCAGTAACCCAGCACTGGAGGATAAGATAGAGAAGATCTCCACAGCCACCATGTATTTTCCTTTGGTGCTCAGGTAGGCAGGAACAAAGGACAACCAAACACTGCAGAACACCATCATGCTGAAAGTGATAAATTTGGCTTCATTGAAAGTGTCTGGCAACCTCCTAGCAAGGTATGCCACCGTGAAGCTGACAATGGCCAGGAAGAACATATAGCCCAAGACACTATAAAACATGACAGTTGAGCCTTCATTACACTCTGCTATAATTTCCCCATTGACGGAGTACATGTCTGTATCTGCGTATGGGGGAGAAATACTCAACCAAAGGGTACAAATTCCTGCTTGAATAAAGGAGCCTGAAAACATGATAGAGTTTGTCAGCTTTTTCCCCATCCATTTTCTCATTCTAGATCCTGGTCTAGTAGCCATAAATGCCAGGACTACAGTGATGGTTTTAGCTAACAAGCTGGAAAGAGCAAGAGAAAATATGATGCCAAAAGTTGTTTGTCGGAGTAAGCAAATTAGCTGCCCAGGTTTTCCAATAAAAAGCAAGCAGCAGAGGAAACACAGTAGGAGCGATACGAGAAGAATGTAGGTGACACTTCGGTTGTTGGCTTTGACGATGGGTGTGTTCTGGTGCTTCACAAATATTATTATCACCAAAGCTGTGATCAGAGCAAGAGCAAGAGCAGACAAAGCTAAAGTCATTCCTAAAGGTTCCTCGTATGAAAGGTAGGTTATGACTTTGGGAATGCATTGGTTCTGGTGGAAGTTTGAGTATTGATCTTCTGGACATTCGGTGCAGGCATCCATATCTAGAATAAAATTTTTAAAAATTGGATACTTTTATAGTCATTGTTGGAGCTGCATTAAATCCCTCCACATTTCCAAGTTCATTAGCCAAGGGTTGTCATTCATCTGCAACCTCCTCACATGCGAAGACTATCCATCTTTCCTTTTAAGCAAAGAACAGTTCCATCAGATGTGAGATATCAGCAAAAAAGGTGTTTTGAGGTATATGGCACATTATTCCACAGATCCTAGTCCAGAACTGGGGGGAAGCTATGCCAGCCCTGGAAGAACTAGCAGAAAGCATAAAACTAATTTAAAAAGTCACAGCCACCTTTCACCCTAATGAGCATGATGTTATAACACTGGTCTTAAAGATCTACGTTGGCTCCCAGTACATTTCTGATCACAATTCAGGCCCTGTATATAGGAATATTTATATATTCAGGCCCTGTTCATCTCAGACAATAATGTCCAGCTCCGAGGGCCTTCTGGTTAGTCATGGAGCTTCATGCTCCGGCAACAGGGAGCGGAGAGCAGGTGGGGGCGGGGCTGGTGCACATCCTGGGGCGGGGTATGCTGCATGCAGGGGCGTGGCACCCAGCACGGGTGGGGGGCAGCTGCGATGGCACTTACTGGGATCGCGCTGCCGGGGGATGTGCATTCCACCCGCACTCCTCTTCCTCTGCCAGTGCTTCTGGTGGCTCCCTCACTGCTAGTAATGAAGTTATAGGGAACCAGGCAGAGGGCTTTCTTGGTGGTGGCACCTGCCTTGTGGAATGTCATCTCATCAGATGTCAAACAGTTAAACAACTACACAACTTTTCAAAGACATCTGTTGGAAGCCACCCAGAGTGGCTGGGGCAAACCAGTCAGATGGACAGGGTATAAGTAATAAAAAAATAAAAAAATCATTCTATTGATTCACATGTTTTACTTATTTGAAGAAATAAATTGAGATGAATAGGTTCTCAGATCATGTAATTTCAGTTTCTCAATATACATATCTTTTTTGTTTTTGTTTTGCTTTATATCTATTTTTCTATGGTGGGGTTAATAAAAATGGAATAAGTAATGTGTATTGAATTTTTCTGTTATATATATCATTGGAAAATTATAATGAAGATGATTTTTTGAAAATTCAGCTTCCCCTTTATGTGATGTGTCTCACAATAAAGTTCTGTAGTGAAATATAGAATAAGAGATGTTACTTCCAATACAAATAGTTAGCAAAAGATATACAGTGGTGTCTCGCAAGACAAAAAGAATCCGTTCCACGATTCTCTTCGTCTAGCGGTTTTTTCGTCTTGCGAAGCAACCCCATTAGCGGCTAAGCGGATTAGCGCTATTAGCGATTTAGCGGCTTAGCGGCTTAGCGGCTATTAAAGGCTTAGCAGCTAAGCTGTTAAATGGCTACTAACGGCTTAGCGGCTTTGAAAAAGGGGGGGGGAAGCGGGGGGGAAATGGCGAGACTCGCAAGATGTTTTCGTCTTTCGAAGCAAGCCCATAGGGAAATTCGTCTTGCGAAGCGCATCGCAAACGGAAAACCCTTTCGTCTAGCGGGTTTTATGTCTTGCGAGGCATTCGTCTTGCGGGGCACCACTGTATAATAAAACCCATTTGGTGTCCTTCTAAGGCCCTTGCTGATTTCAGAACATGAAAGTCTAAATAGTAACTTGTTTTACTACATGTCTCAAATTTGGACTGGGCTACTTCTGAAAAGGAATTGTTTACATTGTTGGTGGAAAGTGTACTGCATATGGAATATTTTCAGCATTCAAACAAGATGATGCACATGTTAAGCATGATTATTTCCCCCCTTTAAAGCCATATGGTGGGTTTCAATGTAGCACTCTGTGGACCAAGCACATGGTGAATGAGGTCCACGCATGCACTGGCACTTCCCCCCTTGTCCTCCCCCTGTTCTCCATGAACTCCATAATTATTCCCTGGAGCCTTGTGGGAAACCCAGAATGGGTTTAGGTGCTGCAGGGGGGAAACAGCAGGGAGGTTCCATTGCATGCGCAGGCCTTGTTCTGCACGCACAATAAATTAGCTAAATACCAAATATAGTCACGTCAGTCTTGCTGGATAATTGTGGAATTCATTCTGCACTTACTAATATTCAATTTATTACTCACCCTTTACCAACAGATCCCAACAGATGCAACATTTTAAAACTGTACATTAAAAACAGTTATGATACTGTTAGAATAATTAGTAGTACAGGAATGTACTGAAAACACCTACCTTAAGTTTCAAAGGCACATTGACCTCTGTGACAACCATATCTCCTACCTGTCTGGTTAGAAATCTTCCCTTCTGGACAAGGAACACATTCATAACAGCAAAAAGGCTCCCCTTCCTTCTTTTTCCTACTGTATCCAGGACGGCACTTGTCATTACACAGAGAAGTGGGAAGAATCTATAAATAAATGTCCAATTTTATCATTTTCATTACAATTCGCATTTCATTGAATATCACCACACATTGAATAATAGACTTATCTTTCCCCCTTCCATGGTTCCATTTATTTATCAATTAAGACTACATATTCTAATTCCCCTTTTATTCAATTTTTCCCCCACTATAATTTTAAGAATTTAAACTGCTACATTTAGATTAATTCTGCTAACACTTTATCTTGCTTTGCATAATTCTTGAGGGATTCTGCAAACATTTTCCAATTTTCTTAAACACGCTATCTTGCTGATTTCTTATTCTGTTGGTTAAATTTGCCAATACTGCATATTCCAATAATTGTATCTGCCACTCCTCCTTTGTTGGGTTCATTCTCTCTTTCTATTTCTGAGCATATACCTCAGACTGCTGTAATTGCTTAAAGAAATTCTGCAGTCCTGCGAGGACTTCTGTTCCTAATATACCTTGTAAGAAGGTTTCTGGTCTTTTTATAACATTTTTTGATTTCATTATATATCACCTCCCAGAATTCCTGCGGAATTCTACATGTCCACCACATATGATAAAAAGTACCCTCCCTTTCTTGACACTTGCAACAGGTACTTAATTCTGATTTATACATTTTCGCTAATTTACTCGGCATAAAATACAGCCTATATATAATCTTCATGAAGTTTTCTTTCAACGTATCACAATCTGTAAATTTTAAATCCTTACTCAACAATTTTTCCAACACACTTAATTCTATACTATGTCCTATATCTCTTTTCCAGTGTATCATGGCTGACCCATGCCAGTCTGGTTTCATGCCTGGTTATGAGGAGAAGGACAGGGGACATGTCAATGGCTTTTGATGCCATTGACCATGGTATCCTTGTGAGTTGACGTAATGGACTCTACTTCTCTGTAACATCTGAAACAAGGGGGGCTGTAGAACCCGGTGTCTATGTGGGGAATCCCTTGAGGCTGGTCAAGAGGCTGAAGCTGATGCAAATTGCTTGACTGCTTACTGGGACACAGTATTGGCAACCAGTCACACCACTACTGAGAGAATGGCGCTGGCTACCAATTTGCTGCTGGCCCATGATTAAGGTGGTGGTCTTCATCTGATGCCTAGAGATGACTTTGAAGGGTTTGTGAAAGTGATCAAATGATTAGCACTCCTGAAACTGATTCTGAAATAGACATAGACTTGAATTCCCTAGTAGGTAAACACAATGCTGTGATATTGGTGGTTCTAATTCCATTGGGGCATGGGGAGATTTGATGGGGAATGATATCCCCATATATTTTCCTGCTCGTATTTTATAAAATTACTACCTGAAGACTGTGAGTAAGCAGCATACTCCAGGGCCATCTTAGTTTTAATGTTCCATTTTTTGAATCCCCCTTCCTAAGTAGTTCTGCTGCCAACCATTTACTCTTTTGCTGGCAGTTGAAAACACTCTTCTTTCAGAAGTCCAGCTGCTATTCATTTATTCTTTGCCTTTTTTATTTTCTGTGTACAATTAATTTATTAATTCTTGTTTTATTTCTGTATTATGAATGTTGCATTTGATTGATTTGCTGATGTTTTATCTGTGACCATCCCTGGGATCATGGGAGGAAGGATGGGAAATCAATGGAAATACTATACACCTGAAATTAGGGCTATGAACCAACTTCTTATGCTTACTGTGAATATATGTACAGATTAGCCTTACATTACAAGCATTTCCTGAGTCTCCAGTGACCCTCTTTAAATGAAACCAACCCAGGGTATATGTTGGAGGTCTTGAAACCTTTTGCTGATTGCAGAATGGGGTGCACTAATTGGAGTGTATGTAACAATATTGAAAAAAAGTCGTCAGGCACATTTGAAAAATCCATTTCCAGTTATTTGGAAGAAAAAGATTTAAAAGTCTTCCTAGCTCACCTGGTTAAATGTTCTATGCCACACAATGCGTTCATCCTGAATGGTTAATTCCTTGCCTGGAGGAGCTTGAAGATCCAGCCTTCCAATTTTGACTCTACCAAAAGATTGATTTGGAAACATTACCCAGTTGGTCACATCAAATCCTGCCATTATCTCTCCATGTTCGTTAAGCTGTATTGTCTCTCCAGCACTGTTGTTGAATGTGAGATTTCTTAGAAAGGGATGGAGCTACATTCAAAAAATATAGAAAGGGGTAAAATGCCAGTCCAGGCATTTTATTTAGTTTCACCTTTAAAAAATCATTCTAAAGTTAATATGTAAAATACTACATAATATTGGTAGTTTTGTTTAAAAACAGTGACCATACCCACTGCAGATCATCAGCATAGCATAAGAAATTTGGTCTTTGAGGAACAGCCTGTCACACCTGAGTAATAGTTATTTTTCAGGTAGGCAGCCTGGTCTCTGGCAGCTAACTTATTAGGAGTCATCTCTTCTGCATACTTGGAGGTGGCTGATCCTCCACCTGATTCAGTAAAAGTGTCAAAAACCTGTTAATCCCTCTTAGGATCCATCACACAAAACTGGACATCAATAGGTTCAGAAGTATCCAAATGTATCAATGAAGACAAAGGAATATTTTTTCAAGTGCAGGCAAAAACTCAACATGATGAGGATGCTTTCTAATAAAAGATGAAAAAGTAAAAAAAATCCCCCTGTTTCTTTCTTAAAATAAGTGTTCCTGGTATATTAGCCAGCAGTGAGAATGTTATCAGCAGCCCTGGAAAATGCAGAATTGTATACTCAACCTATACATAGGGTCTATCAGGGACGTCAGTAGGGGAAGACAACCAGACCAATATTTGCTCATTTACAAGGTATGACATAAAAGTGGATGAATTATTAGTGAAAGTGCTATGTATAACATAGCAAACAGGGAAGCCAGCAATTCTGACCAAGCTATTTGATAGGAAAGAAAAGGCCTTAAATGTAAGATCTGTTTATGTACATGAGAGATATATTTTTTTACACAGCTGTGGAATAATATGGTATTCTAGGCCAGCCGAGAGCAGAAAATACTGTGCTGTGGGTTAAATTACCTCCCATGGGTGCAGATTCTGCAAATCCACTCTAGCCACCTGTGATTTTTGTTTGAATCTAGATTGATAAATAGCATGTAGAGCATGTGCCACTGTGTGAGGAACATTGTACACAGCATAGCTGCTGCCAGTCATGCTCATTTCAAAGATTTGTAATGGAAGACTCTCCAATTTCTCTTCCTCAGTGCAACGTTTCTTAGGCTCTTCACCCACATTATTATTTTTCAATGAGCACTTGAAGGTCTTTTCCCAGAAATCCTTGATCAAATCATTTTGTTTTTTCTCAAAAGGATTCAGACTCTGAAGAAATGTCCTGAATCCCAGGGGTTCATTTGAATGTAGAGATATAGATAAGGCACCCTGTAAATGGTGCATATTCCACCTCCTTTCATTGGTGGTTTTGAAATCCCAATGACTTGTCACAAGCCATACTTTACCTATAGGAAGTTGTGCCATATGAAGATACCCAATCAAAATGTCCATCACTATGGAACTACCATAGACCACAAAAACATTGGCTTTGCTTGTCATGACAATAGAAATTTTATTAAATTCACTAAGGAGCAAATCCGTCATTCCTTCAGCATAAGCCAATGGCCATATTCTACGTATAAAATCAACACAGATGTAATTCAGGGTAAGCTGTGGAACTAATGCTTCCAAAAAAATTTCTCCAGTAATGTATTTCATTGTAAAGAGACCAATCCATGTCCATTTGAAATGCAAAAGTAACTTAAGCAACCCATTGTACTCATGGACATCATTAGGGACCATCTGGTACAGGGAATGGTACTGCCTTCTTTCAGTCACCCTTGAGTCAAGACAGGCATAGGTGAACTAAAAGCAAACACATATATGATATGAATAGCACAGAAATTGTGTGGATTAATGGTATGCATTGCTAATATGGATTATTTTTGTCCACAGCTACTACTTTGGTTTAAATGAATGTTTCATTTACTAGGGGAAAATAATGATAGCATCTTCAGATGAAGAGCAGTATACAAATTTAATTACTACTACTGCCACTACTACTATTTAGATGACTTTCTCATTAGAAGCAATGGGTTAGATGCATTCTTAAACTAGTTTCACTTAGTTCACATCAATGGATATTTCAAGCCAAGGCAATCTTGATGCATTTAATTTGAAATAATCTAAATAAACATAATTTAGGGTGTAATCCATTGGTTCCTGGAAAGGCGTCTCAGTAGTCATAGGGTTTGTCTGATATTCTTCTCCAAAGAAGTGCAGGAGCTCAAGCTGCAGAGAGGGAAAAATGCCCCTCCAAGCCCCCTCTCCGCTTATCACTAAGACTAAAACCCTTACAGACCAACAAACTTTGAGGCAGACTGCAGCAGAACTGAACAGGCCTACTGCTCAGTGTCTCTGACACAAAAAGTCTGTTATTAACTGACATAACTGTACCAACTTACACAACTGCCTCATGCACAAGATATATGACCTCACAAGATTCTTTCTTAGAATGTTGCAGCCCTTGTGAACATTAACCCTTTACTTAGCATTTTGGATGCTCATATCTCACACAATCTCAGCACTATCCTCAAAAACACCCACCTGAGGAATCTTGTACATGTTTATAATAGTGGCCAAAGTGAAGGTGAGCTCAGGGGACTTTGTTCCAAGAATGGCCATCAAATTGTTCTGGCAATCACATTTATAATTTGGAGCTGAAATATGCCGTGGAGAAAGTAGGTCCAGTGAGAGCTTATAAGTAACTACAACCCTGTGCATGCTATCATAGATTCGGAAGCCCAACGTGATGTTAGGCAAAATATGGTGATTTTTGTTTATCTCCTCTACAGCAAATACCATGGCAAGAACCTCCTGGTAGTTTTTGGGCACCACACTGCAATACAAATTAGATTAGATATAATAAACAGGTGGGGGGAAAGAACCAAAGAAGCACACAGAAAATGATTTCTCATATTTTTTATCCCCTCCAGGAAATAAAACAGGCGGATCTATTTATTTAGTAGGAACAATCTTCTACATTCATTAGGAAAATCTGCTGTGTACAGAATATTTCCTGCATTACAAATTGCAATGTAAGGTGTACTTTACTGCAAATCCATTGCAACAAAGCCGTTGTAAGGGTTTTTGGATAGACTTATAGTCTTTTGAACAATTCAGAAAAACTATTTTCATATGCTCTACATATTCTAGAGCTGTGAAATATTTCTAGTCTAGAACTCATGGACATCCAATGGAATGTTTCCAGGGTAGGGCTATCATATGCATTATTTACAAATGAATCAGAAAGCACTGTAAACTTGTGCTATATTCCTTTATTTGCTCTATTTACACAAATGAATCTGGAGCAAAAACAGATTTAAAGAAGCACTGCGCCAAGGCAGCCCTTCTGCTCTCTAAAATCAGGTGTCTAGAAATAAATTACATAAGCATATAATGTGGAACACTAGATCTATAAAATTAGTAGACTGCAAAAAAGTAACAGTAGAATAAAGTGATAAAATATGGAACAGGTTTACATCTACTAAAAAACAAACAAAATCACCTATGCTGAAAGTGCAGCCAATAAAAGTTCAGAAGTACCAACATATGATTTACATCTCACATTTCAGATTATATCGGAGGAAAATACCTCTTATTGCTTCATTATCTGTTCTTAATTTCTGTGAGATAAAAACATTAATTCTACAGAGATGAAAAAGAGGGTGACTTACATGAGTTCCTTCTGGGGTGCTAAAGAAGGCTGTTCAGATGAAATTGTAGGGAAGTGCATCATGTAGAACCGAGAAGCAATAAACCCAATGACAAAATTTCCTGACTGAGAAAACTCCTGTGAAGTGATGTTTCTTACTTTGCATTGGACAAATCGGGTCTTCAAGCTGTAAAGAATGGAATGGCTCTTGCTCACAATTTGAGGGAGAAAAACAAGCAGCAGTATCAATAACATTAGCATTTTGGGGACAAAATGTCACTGTTTTCTTCAATGCCACTTTTATTCAGATGAGTCTTGTTTCAACTTAATTTGAACAAGATGTGACCCCGTTTTTACATTGATCAGTTGGTGAAAGAAGGTGACTGCATCCATCTCCTCTGCTCCTATTTCATGTTTTTTAATTTTTTTAGTTTTAAAAAATTCTGTTTATTGCACCTCAGGTCTTGACTGCAAGATTGTGCAAATTTTTCTGCCTGCACACAGAAGTTGTATTTTCTTTACTAGGAGGATCTATAAGTGAGGCACTGCTGGGAGAAACAGATTGTTTGAGCAACTCAAAATATGCTTAGTCTGGAAGAAACCACAGCACACCCAAAGCCTGCAAACTTATCCTAAAACTGTTAGAGCTCAGAATGACAGGGCCTTGCCTGCTCTTTCTGCTTTGGGCCAGCTCTGAGCATTGGAGAAGACTCTTATAACTACTTCTGTTGTGGTGGTTTATTTTCTCAAGGCCTTGAACATACATTTCCTGGGGTTTGTTTAGCAGGGTAATTATATGCTCATAATTATAGAGGTGATAATCATTTCCCTGTCTGCAGACATTGCTGTTTCTGCTACATACAGAAAAATTACTGGAAAAACAGTGGGAGGTGAACAGTCTGGTAAACTTGTATGGCATACCCAGCAAGTGTCTCAGAAAAATTGGGGCATCCCAATTTTCATCATGAGAGACCAGTGGCATTTTTGGTCACCAAGGTCTTGCATAATTTTGCACCACAATTTTCCCTCTCGAACCCCCCCTTTTTTTAAAGGGTTGGGGTCGTGCTATCTTGCACAGTGCCCACAAACACACATTTTTGGGCACCATTCCTTGGGGAAATTGTCTTGCAAAATCATGTGAAATCATGACAACCAAAACCACTACCATTCTTTCATGAGAAAAAATGGGAATATGGTGTTCAATAAGATTTTTCCTGGATTTTACTATCACTGTGTTGGAGGATTCCGAGGGCAGATGTTGATCAATATTGTTTTCCAAAGGTCTGGCCTTTTCTGATCCATTTTCATTCACCATTGTAAGCATCTCAGCTTTAACTCTTCCAACTGCTCATCCAATAATCACTGTATGATACCAACAATCTTTGCCATATTGGATTCTGTTAACCTCCCACTTAGCAGTGTCTGCCTATAAAAGCTTTAAGTAAACAGTGCATTCTATTCCCATGCTGAATTCAGTTTCATTTTTATAGCCAGTGCCACACAAACAAGATGGAGAGTTTAAAGTACTATAAAATGAAGATTTTTAACAAAGCAGAGTGCCCTTCTCCACCACGGATAATTAATATAAGCCTTTTGCTTTGTTAATTAATGCCTCCTCTTTAATTAGTCAGAGTCTTTATTATTTTATTGTTTCTAATGTTTTGTGCTCTACTGTTGTACATATGATACTATAGTCAATGGTACCAATTGGTTTAATAATACTTCCATTGCATGCCAGCTCCTAGGCTTCACTCAAGATTGGATCCAGGGTTTGGAAACAATTTTCAATGTGGTCATTGCTTCCTTTATTTTGTAGTCATTCATCTTTTTCTCAGGATTGAAGCTATGGCCTCCAGACTATTCCAGAAACAAATGCCACTTCATTTTTGCAAGTATCTCTCATTTTGGCAATAGCTCTTCTTTGAAGGCTTCCATAGAGGTCTCTTTCAGTAATTTGCACCAGTTATATGAACCTCTGTCTTGCATCTTTAGCTTTGTTCTAGATGCCTATGTCTGCTATTACTCTTGCCTCCCTTCAGGCTTCCAAAGCCCATCCTGGGCCTCTTCTTAAATCCCTTACCATTCTGCTCCAGTTCATTTTTGTGTCTTTTAATTCTAAATTGCCCTCTAGTCCTTGAATGAAGGGTGATATATAAATTAAATAAATAGCTTTCCCCCAACAACCATTTTATGACCATTCCCGAACCCTGACTTTTATTTACACACATGTGGGCCCTCCGCCCAGTCACCACAATTTGAGTAAAATTCTGCTTTCCTATTTATCTACAATTATGAGTCAATGAGATGTGGCAGACTGTCCAGTAACCGACCTACTAAAACTGAGCTTGAAGCCTCTCCAAACTTAGCTAGCCCATTATTGACACTAGGCTACAAGTTTTACTGACACTTTGATACCTGCTAGGATGCCTTTAGCTTCTATCAGGAATAAAATTCAGCTTAGTTAATAGCTAACATTTTTTGAAATTATATAACGTTATTATACTAAGCTTTATCACATAAGCAAAATGATTTACCTGCAACAAAATAATAAATAAATGCTACAAGAAAGTATACCAGCCAGTATCCATTGACATATATTTTGATGATTAATGTGAAGATAATAAATAGGCAGTTTTCTGTATGCTTATTGCCCTTTATTTGGAAAGAATTTCACTACCATCACTCCTAATTATCTGAAATTAAGTATGCAGGCACATACGGAGAAGGCTGCTGTTGAAGTGCATAGTAGTCCACCCAAAGCTTCTGCCATAATAATTTGTTTTAAGGTGCTCTGTGGCCCTTTGGCGATATCTTAGTTCTGCCCAGAGTAGACCTGCTAAGTCAGTGGACCTAATTACTCATGCCCACTTCAGTGGTTCCGCTCTGGAGTGTGACTAGCTTTGACTTTACAACCCTTTCTTGAACTAACTTTGGCTTCTGCTGCGGTAGGCGAACAGGGTGGCTACTCTGCTTCGTCACCTACCTGGAGAAAAGAAAAACTGAGCACAGCAACAGCCTGCTGCAGAAAGGCTTGCAGGACATTCAGGGAAGCAGGGGCAAGGGAGAGAGGGAGACACAGGGGGAGGGGGTGATGAGGGGGCAGTACTGGACCTACTGGACCTTTTAATCTAGAAAAAAGGCACTGGTTTTAACCATGAGACTTCAGAGGCACACCCAAAGCAGAGCTGCAGGCCATCTGGCTTTCCAGACATGTTTGGTCTGTTCATGAGAAATAGCTTGCTCACAAGAAACCATTTACTCCCAAGGAATCCTTGTTCTTCATACAGGAAATCCAGCAGCTGGCTGCTGCCTGAGTTTGCACCATTAGGCCCTGGTAACACCCCCCTGCCCAATCTCAGTGATAGCTCACCCTCAACTTTTCATTCTGTGCATTGGCCCTTTGTGTCTTAGAAAATATAATGGATTTCCAAGACCCCTGAAGGCCTGTATCGCCTCTCTTTCTCAGTTTCAGTTGACACAGTCTGTTCCTTTGTAATATTTGCCTTGAGGCACCTCAGGGCCTCCTCAAAGATGACTCCTCTAGCTGGGGCATGGCAGTTATTATATCTTAAGAGGTGTACAAATCTGTGCAGTTTTGATAAGTTCAGTACCCATGTTGGTTCAAAATGCCATTGGATAATTGCCAAACATGGACCAAAACATACTCCTTAAACCCAGAAACTACCATGCCAAATGCCTTGGCCTCTGCCCGGTATACCTGAAGGAGCGTCTCCACCCCCATCATTCTGCTCAGACACTGCAGTCCAGTGCGGAGGGTCTTCTGGTGGCTCCCACGCTGCAAGAAGCCAAGTTACAGGGAACCAGGCAGAGGGCCTTCTCGGTGGTGGCACCCACCCTGTGGAACACCCTCCCACCAAAGAGAAAAACAACTACCAGACTTTTAGAAGACATCTGAAGGCAGCCCTGTTTAGGGAAGCTTTTAATGTTTAATAGGTTATTGTATTTTAATATTCTGTTGGAAGCTGCCCATCTGGCTGGGGAAACCCAGCCAGATGGGTGGGGTATAAATAAGTTGTTGTTGTTGTTGTTGTTGTTGTTGTTGTTATTATTATTATTATTATTATTATTATTATTATTATTATTATTACATTTTAATTGTTCTCTGTTATTTAACTCAGGCCTGAACACAATTATGTAGAATTTGGGGGAAAATATGCAAAAAAGTAGCCCAGCACTAGATGATAAGATAGCAAAGATCTCCACAGCTACCATGTATTTTCCTTTGGTACTCAGGTATGCTGGAACAAATGATATCCAAACACTGCAAAAGACCAACATGCTGAAAGTGATAAATTTGGCTTCATTGAAACTGTCAGGTAACTTCCTAGCAAGAAATGCCACAGTGAAAGTGACAGCAGCTAGAAAGCCCATATACCCCAAGACACCATAAAACATGGAAACTGAGCCCTCTTTACACTCTGCTATGATTTTCCCAATCAGGGAGTGCATATCTGAATGTGCGTAAGGTGGAGAAGTACTCAACCAAAAAGCACAAATTCCTGTTTGAACAAAGGTGCAAGAAAATACGATAGATTTTCCAAGCCTATTCCCCAACCATTTTCTTATCCTTGATCCTGGTTTGGTTGCCATAAATGCCAGAACCACAATGATGGTTTTTGCTAAAACACAGGAGAGAGCCACAGAGAATATGATGCCAAAAGCACTTTGTTGGAGAAAGCAACTCACCTGTCCAGGCTGCCCCATAAAAAGGAAAGAGCAGAGGAAACAAAGGAGGAGTGAGATGAGAAGAATGTAGGTTAGATTTTGATTATTGGCTTTGACTATGGGAGTGTTTTTGTGCTTAATAAATATTACCATTATCAAAGCTGTGGTGAGAGCAAAAGCAAGAGCAGAGAAAACTAAAGTCATCCCTAAAGGTTCTTCATAAGAGAGGTAGGTTATGACTTTGGGAATGCATTGGCTTTGATCCAAATTTGGATATTGATCTTCTGGACATCTAGTGCAAGCATCCATATCTAAAAAGTAGAAGAAAGATGAAAGATGTTATATTAAAGAAAGATGTTACATTGAATAACATGGAATATTTTTGTACACTTTGTATGCAGTATGTACGTATCTATAACTTTTGTATATTTATAGATGGATGAATTAAGACTTTAAATATTTGTATTTGAAATTGTAGTAATAAAATTGTTAAAAATTAAAAAGAAAAGCATGCTTTTTAATGCTTAATAATTCCAGAATTATTGGAAATGAGTAAGATATTTGTGCTACACATTTTGTCAATTTATTTTAATGGTTAATGAGTGATGACAGCGGAACATAAGCATTCGTGACAAAGTTCTCATTTTTAATCTACTATCATACACACTTTAAAGTTGGTCAAAAGCTGTAATTGGAAAATGACGTCTGCTGCTAAAGCGTGTTCTCCCTAGCAGAGAGCACGTGTTGCGGTTGGGAACAGGCCACCCTCTGGTGACTAGGCAAATTTAGTTGAATCCCGACCATTTAAATGGTTAAACTGGGTTGCTGGGGTGTTTTGATAGTTGCCAATTCGGAGGAGGGGTCAGAGTCTATATATACAGGGGCCAGACGTTGGCACGGCCTCTTGGCCGTTTTGCATCAGATCACCCGCCCTCCCGCCCTTTTATAGGGTGGTTTTTGTTTTGCTCGCTTGACCTTGCTATTGCCTGTCATGGGGTCGTCCGCCTTGGTGCGGGGGCCTAGTAGGAATTTTGCCATCTGGCTGATTGGCTGGTGCCATTTGGTTTTTGCCTACTACGTAGCAAATCGTCACAACTTGTAAGGTTGGCGGTTAGGCATTGGTTAAATTGGTGCTTGGAGGGGTAAGTGCCTACCCCTCCAAATGATGCGAATGGGAATTCCGTTAAAGGAAATCCAGGGGCTTGCCATTCTTTCGTCCTTGTCCCCGGAGTCGGACTTGGGCCGTGCAAGCCCCACAGGAACATGAGGGTGAGAAGTGATGGTCTGATGCCCCGCCTCATTTCTCACCCAATACTTGTTTCCCACGCTGGCTTCCGCTGGTGTCCGGAAGGTCAGCTCTGTCCCTGAGGGCAAGGACAGATAGTCATAACCAATGCCTAAGCAACCACTCACATTTTTTGTATTGAATAAAGTTGTGGCCAAAAATTATGCCAAAAACCTTAAACAAAAATTGATGTGTGAAGTGTGAATTATTGGGGGGGCTACTGTGACTCAACACGCAAAAAGAAAAGAAGCATGAAGCATAATTTTCATGATCAGTGTGCGAGCCAATTTAAATCTCTCCATTCAAAACTCACCAGGGACATGATTACCACTCATCTTAATCTTCTACCTAAAGGATAAGCAGTTGTCTGTTTTAAGGGCATTAGGTCCCTTAACCAGGAACTGTACATAATAAGGGAAAGCAAATTATTCAGCAGTCCCAGTATATGTATGGAACGCTTACCTTGACTGATACTACAGTAAGTGGACTGAGGAATGTACTTGGCATTAGGAAATTAATTCTATTAATGCTATATTAATACTATTAATACAATTCAGCTTTCCCTATTGCATCTTACAAGAGATTTTTGCAATAAAATATTGAGTGAGAGATGGTGCAGCCAATGGCAATGATTAGCAAAATATACTACATCTCTAATGTGTAAATCCAGGTCCTGGTTACAACAGCCAATATCAAAACATCACTATGAGCACAGAGAGTATCGGCTTTGTCTATTGTATGCCTTTTGTGTGGATTGGGTAATTTGGAACAGGAAATTTCTATGATATTGGTGTAAAGTACTAAAGTGGACACACTTTAAAGTGGACACAATTTGAACATGCACACAATGCCAATTTATCACCTCCTGCCTTTATGTAGAAGACTTGAGATGGTCTCTCCCAAGGTGAGAGACACTGAGGGTCACAAAGGGTTTGGTCAGCTATTTAAGCTGGATTGATCCACAAACCACCTTCTCAGCTGCAGTGCTCTGCCTTCCTTTACAGCGAGGAGTTTGCTATTTGAGTTGAGTTGGAATTTTGGAGCTAACTGTATCATACATCATGTACTTAACCCCTGTGACAAATTTATTTCCTACCTGTTTGGTTAGAAATCTTTCCCTCTGGACACGGAACACAATCATAACAGCAAAATGGCTTCCCTTCTTTCTCTTTTCTTCTGTGACCGGGGTGGCACTTGTCATTACACACAGAAATAGGAAGAACCTATAGAGAAACATTAGGGATTGAGAAAGTGTGTGTCTCTTTCTCTCTTTCTCTCTGTGTGTGCTTGTTCTAAAGCTAGGTACTATGAGATGGAGCAACTGTTGGCAATTCATGTATACTCTTCCTTCACAATTTCCTTCATCATTCTTCCATTTCTTACACATGGTCCATGAACATTTCATGTATTCTACATTGTTCATTGTTTTTTTCCTGGTTTTCAACTCCTATTATGTCACATAACTTTATCTTCTTAAGCCTCTTTGAGATTTTGTTTTTGTATAAAGTGGCTCATAAGTGTTAATAATAATAATAATAATAATAATAATAATATATGACAAAATGAGATCTCCAATAACCTCATTAAAGTTAAAGCAACCCAGAGTACATACTGGAAACCTTGAAAACATCAATCAACTGAAGATTGGGGTACTCCAAACAATGATTGTAGAGCATGTAACATCACTAAAATGTACTAATAACATTGAAAAGAACTCACACATTTGAACAATCAATTTCCAGTTATTTGGAACTAAAGATTTGTTGTTTGTTCTGTCTCACCTGGTTATACTTGCTATGCCACACAATGCTTTCATCTTGTATGGTTAACTGTTTTCCTGGAGGAGCCCGAAGATCCAGGCTTCCAATTTTGACTCTACCAAAAGATTTATTTGGAAACATTACCCAGTTGATCACATCAAATCCTGCAACTAACTCCCCATTTTCATCAAATTGTATTTTCTCTCCAGCACTGTTGTTGAATGAGGTACCCTTTAGAAAGAAATGGAGCTATGTTCAAAGCAAGAATAAAGAAAGAGACAAATAGCAAGATATTAGATGGCTGACATGGTGTTGCCAGATACTTTGCAAAGATATGAACTTGGAAATAGACAAAATGGGGGTTGCAGTGGGGAAAAGGGGAATAAATTTAAGAGTTAACCCAAATTCATTGTTGAATTTGACTTTCTGATATAAAAAGAGATAGCAGTGAATTCATCTCCATTTTCTTATTTTTCAAAAAGCTTTCCTGCTATTGTAACCAGTAGTACAGTTGCAATGAGCATCCATACAGACTGCAGAACCTTTGGCTTAGCACTATGATCGGCACTGCGGAGCTATGTCACTTGGTGACTTCTGTAACAAAACTTTAACAATTGATTCATGCAGAAGAAAGAAAAAGCCATGAACATAGCAATATTTTTTTGTAGGTGCTACTTTTTACAAACACGTGGAAAGCTCTGTTCTTTTAGTCTATACAAGAAAACTACACTGGTTTGGGTGAAATTACCTCCCATGGGTGCAGATTCTGAGCCACCAGTTTCCTTCCAACTACGTGTCTTCTGTATTTTGATATGGATTTATACATGGCATGCAGAACATGCAGAACTGTGTGGACAGCATTGTACACAGTATAGCTGTTGCCAGTCATGTCCATTTCAAAGATAGATAATGGCAGACTCTTTAGTTTCTCCTCCACATTGCAGAATTTTTTAATCTTGTCACCCACACTATTCTTTTTCAATGAGCAGTTAAATGTTTTCTCCCAGAAATCCTGCACCAAGCAGTTTTCTTTTGCCTCTGAAGGATTTAGATTCTGGAGAAATGTCTTGAATCCCGGTGGTTCATTTGAATGGACAGATAAGGATAAGGCACCTTGAAAGGACTGCATATTCCAGGGGCTTTTACTGGTGGTTTTGAAATCCCAATGTGATGTCACAAGCAGCACTTTACCTGAAGGAAGATGTGCTGTATGAAGATACCAGATCAAGATATCCATTACTACAGGAGTTCCATATACAACAATTATATTGGCTTTACTGGTGGTATCTGATATTGTAGAAAATATTGCAGTATTCCATTTCCCTGACATATCAGCAGCATAACCCCATGGTTGTATATTTGTTATAAAAGCAACACAGATGCCATTTAAAGAAAGCTGTGGCACTAGAGCTTGCAAAAATCTTTCTGCACTGAATAATTTCACAGTTAATAGCCCAACCCATGTCCATCCAAAATGCAGAAGTAAGTGGACCATCCCATTGTACTCATAGTTGTTATTTGGCACCATCCGGTATAAGGAAGGGAAGAGTTTTCTTTCTATAAACCTTGAGTCAAGGGAGCCAATCGTGAACTAAGAATAAAACATAGATATAATGATATGAAGGTCACAAAAACTGCATTAAATCACTCACCAGTGTGCAGTACATTTGCTTGCATACACTGGTGTGATTTAAATTCATATTTCATTTGTAATGCAAAAATGTGTTCATTCAGGAGATGCACATCAGTATATAGTTAGACAAATCTTTCTCAGTGAGGAACAGTGAGATGAATGCATCTAGGGCTATAATAGACAGGAGAATGTTTTGGATCCAGTAGTTCCAAGAAACATTTTTTTGTAGCACACACATCTAGGATGGGCAAAGAAATCACACTGTCATACTTTTCCCCCTTGCCTTTCACCTTAGCCAATGTGTTACGTTTTAATGTCACATGTTCTTCTTCCCCATCCCCCTTTTAGGTTCCCTCTGCCTGATTGGGTCTAATCCAGTGGATACATTTATGACCTTGTCCCATGGTGTGTGTGTGTGTATTCCCTCTAGCACATGCAGTAGCTGCCTTCTAGATTGGTGAACCCACTCTCATCTGTTCAATCCACCGGAACCTGTCTCCACCTGCAGGGGAAGTCCCTAGCTCACTCAGGGTTTGAGATTCATCAGCTATCCTCATCTGGTTTAGCCAGCCAGTCAAAGCTATTCCTGGGATGTGGCCATGATCACATGCGGTCACATGCTGATAGTGTCTAGGAGCCATGGGTGAGAGCTACCTCAGAAGGAAAGCTGCTAACCCTTTCCTAACACCTCTTATGCCTCTATTAAACTATTAAAGCATAATATTTAAACTTTTGCTTGTTTGAATCTGAACCTCAAACTGACCCATTAAGCACAATTTCATTTTGAATAACTTATGTTGTAGCATCTTAGTACTATCCCCTGTAATAGATACCTGTGGAATCTTGTATGGGTTTACAATGTTGGCCAGGTTGAGGGAGAGCTCAGAGTATTTTGACCCAACAATGGCTATCAAATTGTTCTGGGTATCACACTTGTAGTTGGGTAAAAGTCTGCGTTTTGTAGAAACAAGATCCAATGAGGCCTTGTAAGTCCTCTGAACACTGTGGTAGCTTTCATAGATGTGGTACCCCACAGTAACATTAGGTAGGATTGTGGGATTTTTTTTAATCTCCTCCATAGCAAATACTAAGGCCAGAATCTCCTGGTAGTTCTTTGGCACAACACTGCAATAAAAAGTACATTCCATATAATAAAATGCCAAGAAATATCAAACGACCACAGAGAATACCATTTCTAATTCTCTTGGTTATCTCCAGTAAAGAATACCATATGTTATTATTCTTAATTCTTTGTAGTAGTATCAGCATTTTGCTTTTCATGAAAAAGTTACATCACTGTTCTGCTGCTCTTGGAATACTTCCCACAATACACAATGCATGCTAAGGCTTATGTAGCTGCAAATATATTTGGAGACATTTGCGGTAAGGATTTTCTCATATGGAATCACCTGAATATTTCATACCCCTCACTTTCCATAGTTGTGACATGTTCCTAAGGTGGTGCTACCTATGCTTGCCTTCCTATGGATTAGACACACTGTTTTTTTGTTGTATCTGTTGTTAAGAAATGTGCAGATGAATAATTAGTAGAGACGCAGAGGCACTTCTAGAGTGTAGCACATCTGCTAACCCAGATCAGATGTCCAGACTGAAACTTTGAATCCTGATGCTGCTGGTAGGCTTCAGTGAACTCACCACATGCCAGCTTCTGAATTGCAATACTGCTGTTTCTACACACACACATACTTGTTAGTTACAAAACTGGATTGCTGCTCAGCCTCTGAAAGTCAAAAACAATGCTGAATTTCCAACAATTTTCAGTTCTTCAGCTCCAACTAAGAAAATATCAACTAGCCATCCTGAGCTATGAAGACAAAGAGACTGTTAGCCAGCAGTCGGAACACCATATGAAAAATGATTCACATACATTGTCAAAAAAATAAATAAATCCTTGTTAAGTAGGATAGTATGGTTATCTCCATATGGATAATAGGAGAGGGTAGATGGGAAAAACATTCGCTGGACAGAGGGTACATTCACATGTCAGGCAAGAATCTCACAGCTCTCATTTCTAACTACATTTAGAGCGAATTTTTCAAGTAATTACCATCAGGAATATTTAAAATTAATAGGAGAGAAGGCAAAAAAGTACACATCACAACTATTAAGAACATTCAACTAGATGTCTGTCATGGTCTCTTCTAACTCTAGAATTCTATGGCTCACTTTAATGCTTGAAATAAACATGGACAAGATTGATGCCACAAACACAGGAGAAATATCAGAGAATAATCTGGATGATGCCAGAAACACAAGAGAAATATCAGAGAATAATCTGGCACAGAATTGCAAGCCTCATGGGATGGAATATCCCAATATAGTACTTGAAAAATACTATTAAAATAAATACATTTTGTTTTATTATTTTTAAAAAGGCAATTGGGTTCATGAAAGAAAGAAGTGCTGCAGAGAAAATAGGAAGAGTTATGAAATGGGCAAAATGATCGTCTGTCCTAGCAGATGCAAGGAGAATACCAAATGCACACAATTGGGTTACAAAATGTTATGTCTAAATGACCTTAGAATGAAGTGCTGGAAATCTGGACCAAATTCTCAAATACTAAAAAATGTCTTATCCAGATATCATGGCAAGTACAATGTCAGAAGCACCTACATGTGGATTGCATGCCACTTTTTGTTAGGTAAAGAGCTCCCGTTGCTTCATTGTCTTTTCACAGTTTCTATGAGGTAAACAAATGAATGCTTTAGTTAAAAGAATGAAAATGCCTTACACGATGTCCTTGTTCAACACTGAAGAAGGCTGTTTATTGAAAATATGAGTGAAGTTCACCAAATAGAACCGAGAAGCAATTTGTCCAATGAAAAGGTCTCCTGACTGAGAAAACTCCTGTTAAATAAAGAAGTAATAATAATAATAATAATAAATTTTATTTATATCCCGCCCTCCCCAGCCGAAGCCGGGCTCAGGGCGGCTAACAACACTAAAATAGTGCAACATTATAAAACATCATAAGAATTAATTAAAATCAAAATTGATGGCAACCATAAACTAAAGTATTGTAAAGATTGCCAAAGGAGGGAGTCAGGCTGTGCCCTAACCAAAGGCCTGGTGGAACAGCTCTGTCTTGCAGGCCCTGCGGAAAGATGTCAAGTCCTGCAGGGCCCTTGTCTCTTGTGACAGAGCGTTCCACCAGGTTGGAGCCGCAGCCGAAAAAGCCCTGGCTCTAGTTGAGGCCAGCCTAACCTCTCTGTGGCCTGGGACCTTCAAGATGTTTTTATTTGAGGACCGTAAGTTCCTCTGTGGGGCATACCAGGAGAGGCGGTCCCGTAGATACGAGTAGTCATTACCTCTGCATTTAGAGGATCGGAAATTCAAGCTGAAAGAGCCAGTATCGGTTTTGTTCACAACACAAGGGAGAAGACCAAGCAGAAACCCATTTTTCAAAGAAAATCTCATTTCTAAACACAGTTTTATTGAGCTGCAGTTAGCATATTCAGACCAGTCTGGTTGTGACCTGCTTTCAATGAGACCTCAATGCCACTTTGACCAGTTAGCTTAAGATAATGCCTCCATTACTATCAGTTTGGCTGTATTTTACATGTCTTAGTCACGCACACACTTCTATTCACCAATGTTGCATAAAAGTCTCCCAGCTAAGGAAAATCACGTGAAATAAAGGAGTTACTTACTCTGCAGCTATTAGAATGAGTCTTCAAGATAGGAGGAATGCAAATGGTCTTGCTGACAATATGTGGGAGAAGACCAAACAGAAACACAAATAACATCACCATTTGGGGAACAAAACTTCCCTTCCAGAAACACATGCTTCAGTTTTCTTCAGATCACCCAGGTTATGACTTACTTTCAATGAGATTTACTCCATTACTACATTGATAAGTTGGTATTAGAGCATGTCAGCATCACTGTCCCTCTCTTTCTACTTAATGATTCTTAATAATCTTTCCCTATGCTAGTTCTTTTTGTACCTTTCCTGTACCTATGCATCAAGGCTGTATTATTTTCCCATATAAGAAATATCTAGAAATGGAGTCTGCCTTGGGGAAATAGCATGAGTTGCAGATTGCTCAAGCTACTCACAAACCATTTTCACTGGTAATAATCACAGGACATCCAATTGTGCACTCTTACTCTAAAACTATCAGAACACAGAGTGACAGAACTATATCCAAACCTGACCCTTTGGGCCAGTTCTGAGCCTTGGAGAAACCTTTTATAATCACTTTCTGATACAACAGTTTAGTTTTTTCAAGGCTTTCAAATATGCCATGGGGCTTGGTGAGCAGGCCAATTATATGGGTATAATTATATGGGGAGGGAGAAGCAGTTCCACATGTGGTGACATTTATGTGGTCTCAAACACAGCAAAACACTAGGAGGAGCAGAAGGTGTTAATTGGTGTGGTAAACTCATTATCTTTTGTCCAGAGTAGGATCACTCTGCTGCAATTAATTTAGTAGGGTTTCTGATCTGTTCTACTATGAGTTAAAATATGAATGTTGTACAATGCTGAACAATATGTTAAAATATTAATGTTTTTGCTGCTGGATATTATTATTATTATTATTATTATTATTATTATTATTATTATTATTATTATTATTTTCTAATTTCTACCCCACAGCTTCTGCAAATGGAACTTTATTTTCCTCACTCTCTTTTTAAATCTCTTGTCTCTTTCTTTTTCTTTACTTCTCTCTCTCTCTCTCTCTCCCCCTATCCCCCCCCCTTTTCTCCTCTTCTATGTTCTCAGTGTATTTAGATCAATGTTTTGGTTTTGGACAATAAAATTGATATTAAGCTTTGTATGTCTCTTTAAAAATCCTAATAAAAATTATTTAAAAATTATTTAAAAAAAATGAAAAGATAAACAAACAAAAATCAATAATATCTAACTTAGAAAAGGACCCTGCCACTTTGATTTTCCTCCACTCTGTTTTATCCTCAGATAATGGACTAATCTCTTTTATCAACACATATACAGTGGTACCTCAGGTTAAGTACTTAATTCGTTCCGGAGGTCTGTTCTTAACCTGAAACTGTTCTTAACCTGAAGCACCACTTTAGCTCATCTCACTTTATTGGCCGAGGGAGCCGGCGTTTGTCTGCAGACAGCTTCCGGGTCATGTGGCCAGCATGACTAAGCCGCTTATGGTGAACCAGAGCAGCGCACGGAAACACTGTTTACCTTCCCACCGGAGCGGTACCTATTTATCTACTTGCACTTTGACGTGCTTTCGAACTGCTAGGTGGGCAGGAGCTGGGACCGAACAAGGGGAGCTCACCCCATCACGGGGATTCGAACTGCCAACCTTCTGATCATCAAGACCTAGGCTCAGTGGTTTGGACCACAGCGCCACCCGCATCCCTATTTTTCCAAGTAGGATCTTGCTATTATAAAGGTGTCAGTTCATGTACAGCCATAGTTGAGTGGAAGTACTCAGGGTGTGGGTTAAACCACAGAGCCTAGGACTTGCCAACCAGAAGGTTGGCGGTTCGAATCCCCACGACAGGGTGAGCTCCCATTGCTCGGTCCCTGCTCCTGCCAACCTAGCAGTTCGAAGCACGTCAAAGTGCAAGTAGATAAATAGGTACCACTCCGGCAGGAAGGTAAACGGCGTTTCCATGCACTGCTCTGGTTCGCCAGAAGTGGCTTAGTCATGCTGGCCACATGACCCGGAAGCTGTACCAATACAGCTCGACCAATAAAGCAAGATGAGCGCCGTAACCCCAAAGTCGGCCACGAATGGACCTAATGGTCAGGGATCCCTTTACCTTTACCTTTACCTTTACCTTTACTCAGGGATAGAGCATCTGCTTTCCATGCAAAAGCCCCCTCATTCAATCACTGGCATCTTCAAATATGGCTGGGAATTGACCCAGTCTGAAATCCTGGACAGTTACTGCCTCTCAGTGTCGACAATACTGTAATAGATGGGTCAATATGCTGACCCAGTATAAAGTGGGCTTCCTATGTTCTAATGTGCTCTCTAAGCTTATGAAACCCTATGTTGCCTCAGCCCCCCTGAGAAATGAAACCCAGCTGACTGGGAAATGTCTAGAGTTTCAGAACTGGAA